TATATATATATATATACACATATATATCTGTATGGCGTTATGTACCGAACATAACTGCCTAGATACCACATACAAATCTTTTATTAAAAATAACAAGAATACAATCATGTGTTTGATCAATATTATTATAATCTAAATTTGATTAAAGTTTTTTCATGAAAACTATAGAATAGCAACAATGTTATTTTGAAGCATAATGTATTATCCATTATGTCGATCAACAATCGACATAATTGCGATTTTATAATCAATATTAATTTCATATTATATAAAACATATCATACAATATAAAATATATAAGTAATAATTATGAATAGAATTCTCTCTTTCACTAAACACTACAAATGCTTCCAACTGACCAATATAATTGGTCAAACAGTCACTGTTTTGTCGATTTCATCGATTAGTAAAATGTAATTTTACGTCGATAATATCGATACACTTTCTTTACAGTATTCCTTAAAGCTTCGGAGCGTTAAAACTTGCACGGCTCTTGTTATATTGAACGAGAGAACAAATGGATCTTGTACGCACATAGCTGAGTCAATTCTAAAAAATTCCCGATTTTTTCCTTGTAAATGTGTCACATACGGTTCCATATCCTCAGGAAATGTCGATTTTATGTCGGGAGAAGTTGCAAACAGTTGCTTATCACATTCTCTGCCTAACAACGGACATATAACGGAATGCATGTAATCGAATTCTCCATAAAATTTGAAAAAACCTAACAACAATTCATGCATCGGTAATTCTGGTATATCGATAGTGAAAGTGTAACTGACACTAGTTCGCCAACCTAAAATATAACAAAATATATTAATTTTAAATGAATGTAAGCTTTTTGACGGATATATTATATGACACACACACGCACACACACATATATATATATATATATATATATATATATATAAAATATCTACATTATATATCATAGGTAATTTGCTATATTTACCAGAAATGATTTTGAATTCTTTATGCCTTTTGATTAATGATGCAACACTCGGTATTCCGTGTTTAACTTGCAAATAAAAAATAACTAACCAGACGAGAGCATAATTTGTTATATTCTCTAATCCAGTAAAATTGCACAGATGCATCCATTTCCTAAGAAATAATATCAATTTTCGACAGGGCAAGTATGCATTGTTAAAGGACCTAAATTAAAAAAAAAAATATATATATATAGATATTTAAAAAAATCTATTTATAAATACTGTAAATATATATATATTTTTTTATGTAACTTCTCAGAAATAACAAGAACAATAAACAATTCATACTTAATAAACTTGGAATTCTCCACTGATAGACCATTCATGTAAGAAATGTCGCAGTTGATTCCCGTTGATATGTGTATAAGTTTTATGATAGGAGTTCTGGTATTCTCTAGAATTTCTTTTATTTTCCAAACCTTATAGTCAGCACGCAAACATTTCTCAATCTGTTTGTTCCTGCTTTTGGCTAATTCAGCTTCATTGCACTCGCCGCCTATTACAGAATATAAATTTCATCCTATTATTACAAATATATATCTAGAATATATCATATCACATAAGTATACGATGAACAGCTATACTTACCAAAATCAAGGTATATGTCGAAGTCGCTATTCAACATTGCTAAGCCAGTATATCTCGAGCCATATTTGTGTACTTTTACCGCAGAGAGATCGTGTGATTTTAAAGTATACTCTAAATCACTGACGACTCGATTTGTATTCAATTTAATCGATACATTTTCCGATGCTTTAAACAGAGCATCAACATTTTGGTCAATATATTTCAGTAATTTTGTCACCTCCTGCGGTAGTGGCTTAATCGCGAAATCATTGCTCTTTTTTAAATATAGATGTATCGGATGTGAACAATGTTTCGAGTAACAAGCCTCATTTTCATACCAGAGAATGGCGCATATTACACAGAAGCTAAACTTTTTACAACTGTTATAAAATTTAACAGAATTTATATGGTTCAGATGGAGATGATCCATAAATTCTACCTTCATCTTGAATCTCTTTTTGCATGGCACACAAGCGAAATATTGAATAGCATAACAGAGAGGATCTAATGTCTCTATCAATAAATTATCATAATAATTTAAAGACACGAATTGTGTCAATAATTTGTCACGATTCATTTTGTGCGAAGCTTCATTTATATGTATGCTGATCACATTTTCTTCTACTTTTGTATTGCAAGCATGACATACGATATTTGTAGACTCTCCACTCATCAGTTGCTTCAGTAATTTTGACTTTTTGTCCGAAAGCTGCTTGTGTTTATTGCAAGAAATATGTTCGTACCATACTTGTATATCACACGAACTATGTTTGACATTACATATTAGACAAATAACATTTTGATCAGTAGATGGAATGTAAAACTTCAAATTTTCTTTGATTTTGCTTAACTTCCATTCACGACAAGAGAACATAATCTTTTCAAAGCGCAAATAATCTATTGGATACATTATGTTGTAACGTCCAAGAGGAGTTCTTTTTTGCTGCACTGTTGTTTTTGATGTTGTTTTCGATGTTGTTTTGCTGCACTGTTGTTTTAATGTTGTACTTAACAATGTATTTATTTCATTAAATATATCAGAAGATATAAATAAGCCAGACGTAGCTTTTTTATCTTGCGATGAAATTATATCCTGTTCATTGGTATTAGCTGCAGCCACAGGCTGAATATTGTCAACACATTGTAGTTCTTGTGTTTTACTTACATTATGTTCCACCAATGACATATTAATTGATGGATTGATTGATTTATTCATGGTACAAATTAGAGTTTGCGTTTGACTTGTGCTGACTTCTTCCGATGTAGATGTATCACCTGTGTCAAGATATAATTGTAAATAAGCAGAAACATTTGATAATTTATCATGTCTTTTCAATCATTAACATGTGGGTACATTTTATATGTAAAATATATATTCACAGGAAATAAACAGGTAAATAAATGCAGCTTGTATGTCTTAATTAATATCACGACTTGCCCCAATCTCACTGTTAACTTTAAAACAAATTATATTTAAGAGGATGTTGAAGTCAATTACGAACTCTAACAATATTAAAGTGACCAGATTTCTCAGCCCTGAATTCAGGACACTTCATAAATGTGTAAAGCGGGGAGTGGGGGGAGGAGGGTTAAGAGATCCGAAAATTATTCGACAATCATTGAAAATGATGGCAAATCGGTGTCCCGAATAGCACTCGAAAAAATTCGGGACAAAGGGTGAGAAATTGGGACTGTCCTGAAAAAATCGGCACGTCCGGTCACCTTACAATGTGGATAACGTAAAGACGATCGTCATTAACACAATTATATCCTTTTTGTATTTTTCGTACATATAGAACTTACGTAAATGTATATTACTTTGTTTTACCATATTTAGCGGTAAACCTGACCATGCATATGTAGAAATCTTTCTGCAAACTTTCCCGATATTCTTAAGGGATGCTGAAGCTGAAAACTTTACCGACAGAACACTGACATTTTTCTGCAAAGTTTACGTCGTATTACATAGAATTATAAATATTTTTACGCATTGAAAGTACGTGCAAAAATAAATAAGAGCACTGCTCGATATGTGACGAAACAAACAATTTTTAATGTAAAGTCTCAAACTGTCAGTTAACGTAATATTTGCCTAATCCAAAAATTTCGCAGCTTGTATATACCGAAAGTGTGGATACTCCAGAAAAATTTTAATGAACATTGCTCTACCTTCGCATCTGCCTTTGGAAGCTTAATATCGAAAAAGTTTGCAAAAAAATTTCTATACATAAATGGTTAGGTTTTCCCTTGAATATGGTAAAACAAAGCAACACATATTCATAAGTTCTGTATATATATAGAAAAAATACGAAAAGATAGTATAATTATGTTAGTGACTATCGTCTCTGCAATATCGACATTGGCTGCGTTCAGCAGAGAAAACTGCTTTGCAATTCTCGTAAAATTCGTGAATTTGATTGGTACATGCTCTTGGATTTAACTAAAATTAAAAGCATACTCCAATTAGATTCATGAATTTTACAACAGTTGCAAAGCAGCTTTCTCTGCTGAACGCAACCATTGTTCGAATTCGTTATCCACTCCATTATCCCTTTAAGCTTCTGAATACAAATGCGAAGGTATAGTAATGTCCCTTAAAATTTTTGTTTGGAGTATCCACAATATTTCGATACGTACAAGCCGCGGAACTTTTGGATTAGGCAGATATTATACTGACAGCTTGAGATTTTACATTTAAAATTTTTTTTGGGTTTTTGTCACATATTGAATAATGCTTCTATTTATTTTCGCACATACTTTCATTTCGTAAAAGTATTTATAATTTTATACAACCAATATGACGTAAACTTTGCAGAAAAATGTTAATATTCTAAAGTTAATATTCTAAAGTTCTCAGCTTCAGCATCCCCTTAACAATAAAAGAGATTCGAATTAATCTTGTATATTTTCATGATTATCTTGACCTTTATATCTAAATCAAAATTTAATATTCTACCATGTTAGCTTTTAACCTCATATACATATTTATGATATTAATTAAATCAAAGGATTATTTTATATATTTTACTAAAAAAATTTAAAAAATAAACAAATTTTCTCTTTTTCCTTTGGAAAACTTTTAAAGAAAGATAAGTTATAAAATATTAATCCATACAAACAATTAGACTTATTTAAAAAAGAAACTCAAGAATTGGAATTGAATTCAATAAATCCAGAGTATCAATCATGTATCTTTTCCTCTAGTGTGAACATGCAAAAAATTTTATGTGAAAATTTTCATATTTTTATTGTTCGAGAAGTTACAAAATCGCTAAAGTTGTCGAATTTATGTAAAACTTTTTATTTTTCACATTTTTACTTTTGTGAAAGTTATATGATCACTATTTTAATAATATTTTTTATTGATAAGAATGACCAAATTAACAACAATTTATCATTATATTTTTGCAGAAAATATAACTATAATTGATTTCTTTTGATGTTTTCTGAAGAAAAATTGGCAAGCATTTTCATCAAATTGTCTCTCAATTTTTTAATTCGCATATATAATTTTAAATTAACAAAAAAATTCTTCTTGCAAACAAAACAGTAAGAAACCATATTGCTGTGAAAATAATTAAAAAAACCTTTAATTTTTACACTTATTTCCATTCTGAATTTCTTTAGAAACATATTTGATTCTTTTACAAAATCCTATTAAAGTTCTTACTTAAATAAAAATATAACACTTACTATCTGTATCGTTATTTGAACTTTCTTGGTCATTCTGAGGTTTTTCTTTTGTAATACTAGCTGTTTTATTTATTTGGTGGTTCCTTCCTTTAACGTGTTCACAGACATGGTTTAAAGTAGGTATCCAACATTCACAAATTTCACAAAAATAGTCTTGTGATTCATCCTTTACTTTAATACAATCTGTCATTAAATTTTCTTCTTGGGTCTTTCTTTCTCTTGGGAAATTATTTGAATTATTCTGAGGTTTTTCTTCTGTAGTAGCTGTTTTATTTATTTGGTGGTTCCTTCCTTTCACGTGTTCACAGACATGGTTTAAAGTAGGTATCCAACATTCACAAATTTTACAAAAATAGTCTTGTAATCCATCGTTTACTTTGATACAATTTGTCATTAAATTTTCTTCTTGGGTTTTTCTTTCTCTTGGGAAACTATTTGAATTATTCTGAGGTTTTTCTTTTGTAGTACTAGCTGTTTTATTTATTTGGTGGTTCCTTCCTTTTACGTGTTCACAGACATTGTTTAAAGTAGGTATCCAACATTCACAAATTTTACAAAAATAGTCTAGTGATCCATCCTTTACTTTAATACAATCTGTCATTAAATTTTCTTCTTGGGTCTTTCTTTCTCTTGGGAAATTATTTGAATTATTCTGAGGTAGTTCTTCTGTAGCTGTTTTATTTATTTGGTGGTTCCTTCCTTTCACATGTTCAAAGACATGGTTTAAAGTAGGTATCCAACATTCACAAATTTTACAAAAATAGTCTTGTGATCCATCCTTTACTTTAATACAATCTGTCATTAAATTTTCTTCTTGGGTTTTTCTTTCTCTTGGGAAACTATTTGAATTATTCTGAGGTTTTTCTTCTGTAGTACTAGCTGTTTTATTTATTTGGTGGTTCCTTCCTTTAACATGTTCACAGACATTGTTTAAAGTAGGTATCCAACATTCACAAATTTTACAAAAATAGTCTTGTAATCCATCGTTTACTTTGATACAATCTATCATTATATTTTCCAATTGTTCTACAAGTTTGATCACAATTTTATCTTCTAAATTTTGTTTTCTACTTAAATTTTGTTGGACAGTTGTGAAATTTTCCTTTTCAATATTAGCTTCTTTTTCTTTTTCCAATACTAGCTTTTTTGTATGCTGTCTACCTTTTATATGTTCGTAAACATGGATTAAAGTAGGTATATTACATTTGCAAATTATACAAAAATAAATTGTGGTAAATTCATTTGGTAAATTCTGTAAAACAACTCCATTATATAAAAGCTCTTTGCTTTGCTTGTTTGATATACCAGAGTTTTCAAGGAATTCTAATATTTGTTTTGTGGTACTTATCTGCTCTAAATGAGTCTCTTGGAAGTGACTCTTAGCTTTCTTCAAGTCTAACTGTGGTGAATTGCATAAATAACAATACCATTGGTTATTATAACGTGTGATACATTGTACCAGTAGATGTTTGTACATTTTCAAGCAGGATTAAACTCTCATAATCTAGATAAAACAAAATAGTTCTTTGACTAAAGTAATCTAGACTAAGTTGTTTTATAATACTACCTTTTAATATGCATTAATTGTGTGCAACACACAAGAGTTTCACTTTTCTTTCCAAAGTGTAATAACAAAGGAAGCAAATTAGTAGTCTGTATCAAGTATTAGTAGTGTGAAAAAAATATTGTGATGTATCTTAAAGAATTGTACTTTCATAAAATTGCACACAGTATTTTAACGCAAATCGTAAAATAAACTTCCTTACCTTGTAAAACGTTATACACTATATAAAACAAATCGAGTACATCTGCGACATTTATTCGACGTGGCACAGTTCTAATCACCCACAAACTCACTTGGGAAGTCCCTGTATTAAGTGTCTGATAAATTATATCAGGGCCCCTCTCTCTCTCTCTCTCCAAACTGTATCACATTTTACGTGACCAACATTGCGTTTAGCAAACTCAACTGTATTCCAACAGTTGCACAACAGTTGAGTAATTCGTCAATGTAATTGGTCTAGGTTTAGGGATCTAACAGTAAAAACCAATAATCGCTGATTGCTCACTGAGCGCTTTTTGCGCTGAACGCGCTCATTAGTAGCGTCCTCTGAGATGAGGTCCCCTCTCCGTAATCAAGGATGCCACTTTTAGTTTAAGGCCATTGCACGTAAAAAAATTTTAACCGTAATGGCTTCTGCACACAGGACGCGGTAATGTTTACCGCGCAGCAAAAGTTCGCGCGACAGCCAATCAATATGCTGCTTTCCGTAATAACCTTCTAGCTCTTACGGAAAAACAACATATTAATTGGCTGTCGCGTGAACTTCCGCCGCGCGACAAACATTACCGCGTCCAATGTGCAAGAGCCATAACCTAAAGTCGTAAGAAAACTGACCAATCAGAGTTGATTATTCTCCTTGCGTTCGAGGAATAATCGACTGTGATTGGTCAGTTTTCTTATGACCTTATAATTACGGTTAAAATTTGTCTACGTGCAAAGGCCCTTATGGCTTCTGCACACAGGACGCGATAATGCTTGCCGCGCGGCGGAAGATCATGCGACAGCCAATCAATATGTTGTTTTTCCGTAAAGGTACCTTTACATGGGAGCATCGAGCGTCGAGAGTTAAAGCGATAGCCAATCAACGTGCCATTTTCCGCAAGAACTACAAGTATACTTCTGGGACTTCATACGTTGATTGGCT